TAGCAGGGAGCTTGAACCGAAGTAGGGCAGCCAGGACTTGAACCTGTACTCTATGGGATGCCAGCATTGCAAGTAGTGGCTTAACCTGCTGTGTCAGAGTGCCAGCCTCTGTTTGTAGTTTTATTACAGTGCACATTTTCCAAGGCTTTTTGGAGAATACCTCATGTGCACACATTTCAGATGGTTTTGGCACCAAAATAAGCTTATCTTTTAATTCCTTTTCCATGGACTTTTTTTTTTAAGTGACTTATTTATTTATTTGAAGGGCAGAGTGCCAGGAAGAGATGAAGACAGCCAGAGAGAGAGGTATTGATCGATTGATTGGTTGATTCCTACGTGCTGCTTATTCCTAAATGCCTGCAACAGCCGGAGCTGGGCCAGATCAAAGCCAGAAGCCAGGAACTCAGGCTAGGTTGCCATGTGGGTGGTATGGACCCAAATACTTGAGCTGTCATGTGCTGTCTCCCAGGTGCATTAGCAGGAAACTGGATCAGAGGTGGAGGTGGGACTGGGTCCCAGGCACTCCAGTATGGCATGCCGGCATCTCATCCAGTGGCGTGACCTGGGACACGACAATACCTGGCCCTCTGTGGACTTTTTGAAGTACCCTTATATATTTTGCTTATTCCTGGATGTCCTATAAATGGAAGCATCCAGTGTGTCTTGAGCTGCTCTTGTATTTAGAAAAGGGTTTTAATCTGTTTATTGTTCTCTGAGACACACCCTGTAGATAACACCCTGGGATTCCTAGCTTCCCTCGTGGAGGAGAATATAACTTTTCAGTCTCTCTAACTGAACCTCCTACTCCACGCAGGAATCTCCCACTGCAGCTCCAGTGGCCGTGATCAGATGACCTGGGGCTTATCGATGGATAAGCCTGTCAAATTGTCCCCACAGCGTGAAAGCACCTAGGACGGCCGGGCTCCTTGCTCCATGCTGGCCGCACCTGCTCCAGAGAGCAGCCAGGTTCAGGGACCTTGACCCCCAGACCACCCTGTGTTCCTGCAAGCTCCTGTGTTCCTGCCCAGTGAGAAGGCTGAGGGCGGTGGTGGCAGCAGCAGTTAATTTTTCCTAATAAACATTTTACTGTGGAGTAGTTTCGGGTGTGGGGAGAAGTGAGGAAGTTGGGGTGGAGTCCCCAGGTACGCACACTTTGCTCTGTGGCACACCCCTCCCCCAGGCTGCTGCTTCGGGTGCTGCCCGCGAGCCTGGACTGAGCCGTTGTCACTGAAGTCAGGGCTGCTTTTGATTTCCCTGGGTATTACCTCATGTCCCTTTCCTGTCCCAGTCTCCCACCTGGGGTCCCAGGGCCCAGCCGGTCCCGTCTCCCTCCACTCCTTGGCGGGAACGGTGGCTTGGATTTGCCTTGTTTTTGCCAAGCACAGGTCAGGTGGGTCTGGAGGGAGGACCCACAGCTGGGGTTTGTCTGATGATTTTTTGGGGGGGCATGAATAAGAGGAAGGCCCCAGAGACGAAACTTGGTCTTTTTCACAGTTGCTTTTTTTATTGAACGCAGCAGTGTACAAGGTGGACCAAGCCCTTGACAAATTGCATGTCCTTTAGTGCTCCCAATAAATCTGTCAGTTAAATAAATTCTCGTTTTATGGTTGGGGAAGGCGGCTCAGAGAGGTGCAGGACTTGCCTAAGGGCACACAGCACTTGACCCAAACACGGGTCTTATTGGACCTTCATAAAGCTCTATTTGTGACCAGACACTGTTCCAGCAGTGGGAAAGCCGCTTTTGAAGCAGTGTGTATTTATTTGTAACCCAGCCTTTTCCCGAAAAGCCTTGGTTGCAGTTCAGGCAGGGTCACGAGAAAGAAGCAGGCTCGGGAGGTGGCCTGGGGCTCCCTCCCGAGCAGCATCTCAGCACACGCAACTGTAGGCAGTGTTCACGTCACCGACTGTGTGGCCATGGGTTGGTGTGTGCAGCCTCAAATGTCTCCATATCTCCCAGGAGGCCGTGTGGCCAGTAAGAGCCTTAAGGCACTGCGCGGTGCCCAGGGTGGAACTCTGAAGGACTGAGACCAGCAGCCTCACGGGCTGGGTAACCCAGCGCATGCCCCGTGGTTGTCCTGCGCTCTGCAGTGCTGCGGCCGCGCTCCCGACTGCTGGGACTGGGCATGAATTTTTATATCTGTGTCTTAGTGGTCCAGCGATGATTTTTTGCCACACCTGCTAGCAGCCACATCTCAGCCCCTGTCCACTGGCTGATGGGAGTCACCAAGGCAAGGCCTTTGGTGCCTTGCTGGGGCCCTGGGCAGCTGCCACTGCTTCCTGAAATAGGATTTTGCCTTTACATTTTTAAAGATAGATTATTTATTTGAAGAGGAGAGAGAGAGAGAGAGAGAGATCTCTTTCATCAGCTGGTTCACTCCCCAAACGCCTGCCACAGCTGGGGCTGGTCCGGCTGAAGCCAGGACCCCAGAAATCCATCCAGATCTCCCACGTGGGTGCAGGGGTCCAAGCACTGGAGCCACCCTCTGCTGCTTTGCCAGGCATTTTGGCAGCGAGCTGAATCCGAAGTGGAGCAGCCGGGATTCGAAGCAGTTCTCAGATACGGGATGCTGGTGTTACAGGCAGAAGCTTAGCTTGCTGATCTACAATGTTGGCCCCTTTAACTTTGATCTTTGAAAATAGCAAAGAAAGCGGCTTCCTGAGAGTGCTTTGGCACTGGTTGGTTATATGTAATCCAGAGATGCCCACTTTCCTTAGGTTAGTGCGACGTTCGTGGATTTGTTAAGAAAATAAGTGACAGGCGCCAGCCGTGCAGGCACAGGGAACAGGGCAGGTGCACGTCCCTGCTCCCGCAGCGCTGAGACACTAGCAGGGGAGACAGACGATCAATATTTGAACGTGGTTGTTAGGAACATGAGCGTGGAGCCAACCAGCGAGCCCCGGTTTTCACTGATAGTGCTTGGGACAAGATGTGCCGTTAGCGCTGAGTCATTGATTGCAGAGAGCTGACAACGTGGCAGTGCATGGGCTGCTGGGATGGGCAGGAAGGGGAAGGGCGGGCCCTTGAGCTCGACTTCAGGGTGCACTGTGTCACAGGTCACAGCAGCCACCTGCACTGGCAGCCTGGGGGCCTTGCCGAGGGGTCAGCGACACCCTGGGGAGAAGGGTGGGGTGAGCTTGGCTGCTGCCTCCTCCCACCCACCACCAAGTCCCCTGGAGCCATCTTCCTTCTGCCACCCTTCTCCTGGGTCTGTTCTCCCACATCAGTCCCAGGGATGGCGTTAAACTTGGCAGAAGGCCCTGCGACACTCCACCCCGGGACCGTGACATCTGGACCCCAGCTGGAACTGCAGGCCCCTCCGCCATGGGCCTGCCTGCCTCCCCATGGTGTCTCTTAGCCAGCTCCCCAAACGTTCCCAGCTGTCGCGCCCCTAGGCCTTTGCACGGGGCTCTGGAGTAGGCTCCCTCCACCTTTCCCTGGAGGCCGCTGCTATCAGCCACCTGGCGCCGCACCCTGCATCGATTCTTTGCATAGCACTTGCCACTCTGTGTAAGTTTATTGCTGTGGGTGTTTGGGGTCTTGTCTTACTGCTGCTCCCCCAGAAAGGCCCCCTGGAATGCAGTAGACACTCAGTAAATACCTACCAAGTGAATGAGCGAAAAAAGGGATGAAGGGAAAAAAATCAGTTGCTCTGTCACTCTTACTCCTTGAGCCTGGTGCCCGATCAGAGAAAGGCAACTGAGGTAGCTTAAACCATCAGCGCTGCACCTGCGCCTTTCTACTTCGGCAGCTGGATACTGGAGTGGAAAGTCCCCACGGGGGCCCTCAGTCGCAGGGTGAAATTCACGTGTTGGTCCGTGGACTTCAGACAGCATGGTCCTCCTGCCTGCCGCTCAGTGTAGCGGGCAGGGCACTGGTGCTGCAGTCGGAGGGCTGTGCCCGGTCCTGGCCAGGCCGCTCCCAGCTTGCTGACCTCCTGAACCTTGGCCTCATCTGCGGTGTGAGTGGCCCCAGCACCTGCTCCCCAAGAGCATGGTGAGAATTAGGAGAAACGCTGCTTACCGAGTGCCCAGGGCAGCGCTTGGCACACTGGAGGGCCTGGGACATGGTAGTCGGTGTGTCTCGGAGTCTCAGGTCTGGATTTTTGGGCACAGAGGGACAGGGACGCTGCTGGGACCTGGTGGCCTAGGTATCCCGCAGCCCCCCTCTCACTACCCCTGCCCCAGTGTTGACTGGTCATAGCTTTTCTCCTTCTTCCCACCCTTCACTGTCGAGTCCTTGCCACAGGCCAGGCTCCAGGTCAGCGCAGTGGCCACCCAGAGCTTGCAGCCTGGCCAGGAGGTAGAGCTGGACAGGTAGTCCTGCGTGCGAGTCTCCAGGTAACCAAGCAGGGCATGGTGAGCACCGAAGGGAGGCTGTACCCGGCTGAGTGCTGGGGTCTGGGGGACGTGGGCTCCCCATGATGGGGGTGCTGTTAAGCCGGTGTGGGGCCGTGGCCATTTGGACCAAGAGCTCTTGAGTTTGAGGCGCTGTCAGCCCGCTGGTGTGGGGAGCACACGTGTGGATTTTGCAGCTGGGCCTCTGGGAGCCCCTGGAGGATGTTCTGCATGGGAGTGGGAGCGTGGAGTTGTCTTCTGGGAACACGGCTCTGCGTGCTGAGTGGGGAATGTGTATCTGGAGACAGAGGAAGGAGGGAGCCCTCTGGGTGCACTCCTGCTGCTTTCTGGGTGGGCGTGGGTGGTAGCCGCTGGGCTGCCTGCTGTGCCCTGTGACTGGTCCTCAGCCCCTGCTCCATGTTCCCTCCAGCCCAGCCATTCCTGCCACTGCCCCTCCAGTCTTGTGCGTGAGAAACACCTTCATCTGCAGCTGGCCGCTGCCAGTCTGGAGCCCCAGGCTTTCCCTGGTCCCCTGGGTTGGCCAAGTTTCCATGCCAGCCCTGTCATCTTGTCGCCAGAGTGGGGACACTCACGGGACCCCCTTCGAGCCCTGGACGTACACCTGCCCTCCTAACCGTGTGGGTCTCTTTCTTTTCTTGCTGTAGCCAACCGGGTACATGGAAAACTCCGTCTCCTACAGCGCCATCGAGGACGTGCAGCTGCTGTCCTGGGAGAATGCTCCGAAGTACTGTTTACAGCTCACGATCCCCGGGGGAACAGTCCTACTGCAGGTAGGCCCCAGAACGTGAGCATGAACACGCACTTTCCCCGGCTTCCTCCCCCGCCAGCGCCCTCCTCCCGCCCTCCGAGAGATGCGGCCAGTTGTCAGCAGGAGCGGGGGTTGAGCCTAGCGCGTTTTATTCCCCAAGGAGAAGAGGCCATCAGCTGGAGACAAAAAAGAGGGACTGTGCATGAATTGAGCGCCTGGTGCATGCCTGCCACAGTCTAGGAGCTTTATGTGTCCTCGTTGAGTTCCCATAATAGTCCTGGGAAGCATGTAGATGGTCTCCGTGTTTCATATCGGGAAACTGAGGCACACAGGCAGGTTGCTTGGCCTCAGAAGGCCATGAAAAGCACATGGGCAACTGAGGCTGCCCTTGGCTTTGCGCTGAGTGAGAAGGTCTCTTCCTTCTCGTTGAGCTCAGTGTTTGGAGACTGAGGGAACTGTACGCTGTCTTCTCAGAAACAGACGCACATCCTGTGTGTGCGTGGTCTGGTCAGGACATGTGGCTGGAAGTGACACGAGCATTACTCAAGGCAGGGAAGCTGAAACAGCGTGCCGTGGCATGACCGTTGAAACAACTGGGAGGTCCGAGCCACGGCTTCAGGCGGAGCTGGGTCCGTGGTCAAATCATCGCATTCTCACGCAGCACCTCCATTCCCTGGCTCCGCTTCTGTGTCAGGGAGAATCTCAGCACAGCAGCCTTAACGCGCCATCTCAGAGCTCGCAGCCTTAAAGAGAGTGGTCCCTTTTCCTCCAGTACCTCCTAGAAAATCTCAGAAGTGACCACCCAGGCCACATGTGCTCAGACTGATTGCCCTACCAGGACCACGCGGAGCCCGGGGGCAGAGCCAGCAAGAAGTGGCAGGCGAAATACAGGGGCTCTCGCAGTACCTCCTGGGACACGTGGTCTGGGCGCTCCCGCAGCGCCTCCTGGGACACGCAGCCGGTCGCATCAGGGAGCAGTCAGGAACCCCGAGTCGGAGACTCCTCGTCCAGGAAAGCCTGCCCACCTGCTGGCGGCAGAAAGATCTGCCTCTGCCTGACTCGGAGGAGCATTTTCTTCCTAGCCCTGTGTCTCTCCAGGGACACTGGTTTGCTCTTGGCCCAAAGAGATGCCCCCAGACCTACTTCCGAAGTGGCCCTGGGTGGTGTGGTGGTACCGGCTCTGCCTCTGAGCGGGGCTCAGCTCCGTGGCCCTGGGAACCCACTAAGCGGCACTCAGAAAAGCCCCGGTCTTTGCCAGCAGCTCGTGGAGGACGCCAGAAGCCGTGCCTGCCTCCTCTGTCTTCTCTGTCTCCCACTTTGTTTAGTGCAGGGTCCACTTGGTCCCCCTCCCCCTAAGCCTCCCCGCCGCAGGCTACAGCGCAGTCTGATGGCTATGGCCAGGGCAGCCCCCTGGGTGGGAGACTGGGTGGGCCACCAAGGCATCCCTGGCCAGCGAGGGAGAGAGTGAGGGGTGCGTGGCATTCCTGCAGTGCTGGGAGCCAGCCTCGGCCCTGTGCTGGGGGGACGGGAGTGGGCACTCCTAGAAGAGCTCCCCCACCCTCTGAGGAGACATCCCCGTAAACAAGTGATCCCCGAAACACCAACTGGGACACAGGTCTGTCTCTGAGGACTGGGAGCCCAGAGGAGGGACTGGCTGCCAGGGCCTGGGATGCCAGAGCAGGCTGCCCTGGGATGGGCATTAGTGTTGGGCTTGTAGGGGTGTGTAGGAGTATGTGTGGGGGTGGAGGGAATGCCCTGGGCAGGGGGTTGTGGGAGCCGAGCCTGAGTGTGTAGGAGTTTGCTGTAGCTGCAGTGCCAGGGTGGGGGATGGATTTGAGGCTGCGTGCACAGCTAGGGCTGTCAGGGCTGCTAGGTCTTGCACGCTGTTTGCTGAAGCCTCGGACCATAATCTGAGGGTAGTAGGGAGCCTCTGAAAGCTGTTAAGGGATGTGAAGGGACTCTAGACGTGTGAGTGACAAGGAGACGCAGGCCGCAGCGCCGGGGCAGCCCTGAGCTCCTCCCCGGGCGTGATGGTCACAGCTCTGGCAGGAGCTCTGGTGGGCAGAGAAGGCAGCCCTGCCCCCAGAGAAGGCCAGAGTGTTACTTGCTTCCCTGCTGGGCGTGAGGGATCTTGTTAACCGGAGCCGCGGTTGCAAGCCCTGCGGCGATAACTTGTTCGGCCAGGCTTGGCCGGCTGTGGCCAGCAGTGGCTCCGCGTCAGAGCTCCCCCTGCGGTGCTGACGCACCGGGCGGGCGGGCTCACTGTCCCCTGGCTCCAGTGGTTGGCACAGCCAGAAACAGGAACAGGAGAGGAGGAGGAGGAGGAGGAGGAGGTGGAGGCAGCGGCAGCCAGCAGCTCCTCAGACCCAGGGCTGCACTCAGAGCAAAGGGAGCAGACGCTGCGTCCAGGTGGGTGCAGCCCCTGCTGGCCATCGGGGCTCTCTCTGGTGGTCATTGTCATCGGGCTGGGTGGTCGGTGCGGGTTGGCTGCTGCCTTGCTTCCTTGTCCTCATTTGCCTCTCTCCTGCCCCCCCTCCCCATGATTCTTGGGTGCCGTGCAGCTGTCCTGTCCTGTTCAGGGCTCCGAGCTGCCCTGGTGGTGGGCTCCAGGCCGGGAGGTCGCTGTGGGTGAATAGGGAGGCACCTGGTGCCCCAGGGGTGCTGGGCAGAGCTCTGCTCGGTGCTGGTAAGGCCCACATGCTGTTGGGACAGAGGTGTGGTCTTTGCTTCGTCTTGCTTGGCCTAGGGCCTGCTGTGCTGGGACCTGGAGCCGTGATGTCAGAGCAGTCCAGGTCCTGGCCAGGACAGGAGGGGACTGAGAGCAGCCAGGGGTGCCGGGGCTCAAGGCCTGTCACCGGCGTGTCCCTGGAATTCAGATGCCCTGACCAGTGCAGTCCTGTGCAGTCCAGTTAAGAGGGTACTTCCTGAAACCACTGGCCAGTCTCAGGTGCTTGGGAGCACGTGTCGCTGGCGGCTGTGTGGACAGAGCAGGGGAAGGACATGTCCAGTACAGAAGATTTCGCTGGGCGGCGCTGGCCTTCTCCTGTGGGTCTCACACCCTGGCCTGGGGCTCCAGCTCCCTCTCTGGGCTTCTCAGCTTCGCCAGAGGTGTCCATCCTGCGGGTGGGCAGAGTTCTCTACCTGGGGCGATGACAGGGGGCTCCAGGGGCCCGGTGTCCCTTCCCTGGCCCAGCCTGCCTGCTCTTTTCCTGTCACCCCCTGCATCTCTGACACTTTCCTCCATCTCTCTCTCTCTCTTTCTCTCTCTCATCCCATCTCCTGTCCTCTCTCTTTCTCCTTTGCCGTCTGTCTGCTTTTCTTTCTCTTTTGCCCAGTGTCCTCCGCAGGCTTCTCCCCGTGTGTCTCTCCATGCCAGAGCATCACCAGTTCCCTTTCTTGCTCGCTCCCTCCCTACCCTCCTCCACCTTGTCCTCTGTGTCTCCCAGGGACCCCCTTACAAAGCCCCTGCTTGGCTAGAACTTGAACCAGTGCCTCCTGGAGACCTGACCCAATGGTTCAAGGGAGGTCCCAAGAGGGTTTCAGGCACTCGCGCCTTCTCCCCGCTAGGAGACCCCGAGCAGTCTGCCTGCAGGTCCAGTCGCGGGCAGAGGCGCCAGCCCTCCCCCGCGGATCCAGCCGCTGTTTCTAGAAGCTTTGTGTTTTCAGCAGGAGTTCCCCTTAACGCCATGTCATTGGAATCTCTGGCGGCAGTAAGGTCCTGCTTCTTTCCTCCCTGATGCCCTTTGTGCGAGCGTTTTCGTTGTACTTCGAGAACGGAAACGGCATCAGGGAGGCGTCCTGGGGGGCGCTTCCTGCAGGCCCCAGGGGCAGGGGAGCAGGCAGCGCATCCATCCGTCTTCTTAGCACTGGGTTTGGCGGTGATGGACAGAGCCTACTACTCCTCCAACAAGGGCTCAGGCGAGATGGGATTATGAGACCCCGTCTTTCCCAGGGGCACCTGCTGTTTTCTGGGACCGGTCCAGAGACCCGGCCCTGCTCGGCAGCCGTGTTTCCAAAAACCCCGCGGGAGGCTGGCCAGGCAACTTTGTACCCCGAGTGTTGGCAGCAAGGCGGGGACTGGGTGGGTTCCTTTCTTACTGGAAGCCGTGCAGAAAGACCTTTCCGGTCTGCCAGCACGCGCTGTGCCTCCCTGCGAAGCTGGACCGGGGAAGGGGACTTAGGGACGGTGCCCCCCAGTGCTCCCTGGGCTGTTTTCCTCACTTCCCCACACAATGCAACAATGAGAGAGAACTTGGCAACTTTCAAAGAGGAAATGAGGCAGATTTGCCTGCAAACAGGCCCTCACTGTGAGAGACCGATCGCCAGGAGCAGTGGGGAGGAGGTCCGAGCAGGCCTGACGCTTGTGCTAGTATGGGCACTGGGGATGAGGCGGTCCTCCTCGAAGTGACCTCGGGGCACTGCTGTGCCTGCTGTTTCTGCCGCGCTGGCTTGCCCTGGCTCAGCCGCCAGCAGGGTGGTGCGGAGACGGAAGCATCCTGTCCCTGCCGGGGCCGCCCACTGCTGGAAGCCGCTCTGAGGTGCCTGCCCGCAGAGCATCCTGCCCGCATCCTCTCTCCTTAGAGACCAGGCCAGCTGGAGGGAGAAACGGCCGCCTGGCCGCCTGGTCGCAGTCTGGCTGCAGCAGCGGCAGCCCCTTCGTCTGGAGGAGCGCTCAGTCCCACCCTCTCATTTTCACAGAAGGGGGCCAAGTCCCTCCTCCCCTGCTTCCTGTCAGGGCCGCCACCTTGCAGGGACAGTGTGGTCATAATGCCGTCTGGTTCCCAGCCCTGGTCATGGGCATCCAGGGGAGCTCAGGTTCACTGGCCGTGTCCCAGAGTGGGCAGTGCAGGGAGCAGCCTGGGGGCCAGACTGGTCTGGGTTCCAGCCTGAATCTACACGTACCTCGAAGACACCACCATGGCTGAGTCACCCTAGGCAGCGGGAAGAACCTCCATGAGTCTCATGTTCTTTTCTTTTTAAAAAGAGTGATTGATGAGCCGGCGCCGTGGCTCAATAGGCTAA